ATACTATTGGAATCCGTGCAAATCCATACCAAGACCCACGATTGCACACGGCAAGTGCATCACTCGCGGGACTGGATATGAAAGGCATGGCCGCATCAATAGTAGGACCACGTACAAGCCCGCATATTTGGACAACCTAGGCAAATTGAAAGCACAGAAAAAACAAACACCATAGAACCACCAACCTCCGTACATGTAATCCTATGCGTATCGGGCAACACTCACGTATGAAATGTGAGCAGCAGGCGGAAAAACCTCGAACGACGGCCATGAGCTCAAGCCCAGAGCATCGCAGACGAGATGAGAAGGCCGGCAGGACAAGGCAGCGTGGGATAGCCATATGAAGCACACGAGCATGAGCATGAGCGGTAAGAAGCGACAATCACAGAATTGGCATGGCACGACAAGGGATATGGGGTAGAGCAATTCACGGGAAATCGCAGTTGAATTCGACCATCAGCACAAGACCAACAAGCTTACCAGAGGGCGAGCACAAACGAAATATAGCTCTGAGGTAGAGGGGCAGCTGTGCAAGGTAAGGCTACTAATCCTACGGTACATCGGCGTGAGAGCCGACAAATACAAACAGTGGTTATTTCTCACCTCTTGCGCCAAGAGCTTCCCAAGTCTCCACCTTGAGGCACGTCTGCCCAGCCGCCTTCCGCAAAACATCGCAGACTGTTGCATTCATACGGCTGCTCTGAGCTTCAACCCCGCTGCCCCACACTATATACTGCATCATGCGACCGCGCCCATATCCATGAACCCTGGAGAGGGAACAAAAAGGGATGGGGGAGGGAGAAAGAGAGGGGATGGGGAAGGGAAAGCAGGGGAGAGAGAGCGAAAAGGAGGAAGAGGGAACTGAGGGAAAGGGAGAGGAAGAGGAAGAGGAAGAGGGAAACGATACAGGCACCGGCTCAGTGCTGAAGTCCTATCAGTGCGGCCCGCTGGGATAGGACCACAACCTAACCCTCAATCATCGAACCCTCCGTCCTTCACAGCCCGTCTTATGCAGTGCCCCCCTTGTAGATGCCAACCGCCACTGACGGGGATGGTAGTTAGGACGAGACGGTCCAAAAAGAGGGGGGAATAAGGTCATGGTGACGACAGAGATGTGGATCACGAGTGCCCGAAGGCCGGCAGTGCTGAGCAAGCAGTGAGGCCGAGTGCACCTCGAGGCGCAGACGGCAAGCTTTGAGGGCAGCGGGGTGCGAGGCCATAACGGCAGACGGGATATGTAACAGTAAAACACGGTATGCATGACAGCAAAAGAAGCTTCCGAAGGATGCCTCTGAGAGAGAGAGGCGGAGAAGAACGACCAGGGGGCGAGAGGGAGAGGAGCAGGGGGATACGGATGAGGGGGATAAGGATGAGGGGAAGAGGGATGAGGGGGGAAGGGATGGGCATGGGCGATGAAGGGATGGGAAGGGGGAGGGGGAGGGGGAGGGGAAGCATTATATTCTTCGCAACCTTCCCCACTCCCGTCGTGTCGCGACCCAGCGCAAGCACTCCACCCCACCTCCAACGGGGCCATCTTCTGGCTTTCCTCCTCCCGCCTTCCTGCCTCACTCCGCCGTCCCTCCTCCGCCCCTCCCTCCGTCGCTCCCTCATCTCTCATCTATTCCTCATCCCTACGCCCATCTCCCCCCCCCCCGTCCCACCTCTCTGCCCGACCTGTGATGCTCGAAGCTCGGGATCGGTTATTGGGGAACTGTGCTTCTGCACTTCGGCGAGAACCCTGCTTACCCGGAGGGAGGGGTGAGAGCTCGGAAGGTCGCTGGATGCCGTCGACGCGTACAGTGAGAAATCTGCCAGAGGAAAGAACTGGGACACATTCAAAGGGATCCCTCCGAGCAGACAGGCAAGGCGCAAAGTCGGGTCGTGCGCGCCTCCTGCAGACGCCCTCGCGACGAGACCCACGACGCGCAAAAAACCACAACGGCCGGCAGCCTGACCGTGTCGCCTCGGGCAGCCCCACGTATGCCCGCGCGCACCAATATACTGCGCATCCCTTCGGACCCGCGCGACCGACAGGGTCAGGTTGTTCGGGCTCGGGCTCGGGCTCGGGCTCGGGCTCGGGCTCGGGCTCGGGCTCGGGCTTGGGCTCGGGCTCGGGCTCGGGCTCCGGCTCGGGCTCGGGCTCGGATCTGGGCTCGGGCTCGGGCTCGGGCTCGGGCTCGGGCTCGGGCTCGGGCTCGGATCTGGGCTCGGGCTCGGGCTCGACAGGCGGGCCCGATATCCCGCGCGATCGCAGCATGACCCCATCAAAAAGACATTCTCTTGCATCCAACCCCTCGTTGAGGCAATGCCGCGCAGCAGACACCAGTGCGTCGTCGAACACGCCACAGCAACTCCGATGCCATACACGGACGCCAAGAGCATGAAGACCCATCCCGACCCAAACCCAACACATTCCGACTGCCCTCGTCCAACCGCTGCCGGCCTTTAGTCTCTTGTTCATGCCAGAAGGTCCTTCCAGACGTAACTGCTTGAATAGCTCCTGGAGCTCCATCTGCGAATCAACAAGAGAGGAGCAAACGACAGGAAAGAGGATCTGCGATCTCTGGAGGTCCCCGAAGGTCCCGAGAGGTCTCAAAAAGGCCTCCGGAGGACCCTTGAGGTCCCCATGGGCTTCATGGAGCGTCCAGAGAGAAAGAACAAAAGCTTGAAACTCCCAGAAAACAGCAATCTCCTCAATCCTCAAACCTCGGGCCGACGACGACGGTGGGGACGACGACGAGAGAGGAGAAGGACCAAAAGTAAGAAAGCCACGTTCGCCATCGTGCACTGCGAAGAATCGGGGGTTCCCAGAGGTCTTCATGGCCCAAGGCGCGCCCAACCTTTCGCGCCATACTCCAAATCCCTTATTAATCGACCCCCCCCTAAAAAACCGACCCCCCATATTCCAGACTCCCCCCTTCGATGGGGCGCCTTAATAAACCGGACCCCCTAAGCTCCGATCCAAAGAAAGCGCCCTAAAGACCGGACCCCCGCAGTGACAAAAAAAGGCGCCTTAAAAAACGGGACCAGGGGGACGATTAGTAATGGATTTGGAATACTGGACCCCTTGGGGGCTTCCAGGCCTTGTGAGAGCTCGCCATCGCTCGGACGTCCATTCCCTGTTTTTTTCGGTTTCGTGCGTGTTTTTTTCGCCAAGGGCCACTTCTGGCCACTCCCGAGAAGAGCCGCCGCCAGGGCCAAAAAGGAGCGGCAGCAAAACCACGCGACACCGGTGAGCGACCAAGCCTCACCCTCTCGAGGGCGGGGAACGTCTTCCTCCGTGTCCTTGTCCTCTTGCTCCTCTTTCATCTCTCTTCCGCGTAATGTTCCTTCACCTTCAACCCTCATTCTCCTCCTCCTCCTCCTCCTCCTCCTCCTCCTCCTCCTCCTCATCATCATCATCATCATCATCATCATCATCATCATCATCATCATCATCATCATCATCATCATCATCATCATCATCATCATCATCATCATCATCATCATCATCATCATCATCATCATCATCATCATCATCATCATCATCAATCATCATCATCATCATCATCATCATCATCATCATCATCATCAGCATCAGCAGCATCATCATCATCATCATCATCATCATCATCATCATCATCATCATCATCATCATCGTCATCGTCATCATCATCATCATCATCATCATCATCATCATCATCATCATCATCATCATCATCATCATCATCATCATCATCATCATCATCATCATCATCATTATTCTCCTCGGTCATCGCTCGGCCTGTTGACGAACCCATCCTCGTCGCACCCCCCAGGCGTGCCGGCAGAGCGGGCCAGGCGTGTCGACTGAGACTTTCGCATCACACGCCAAGAAAATAAAAAGCGGCGCCTGTGCCGCGCACGACGGGGCCAGAGGGCGCCTCGCACAACAACAAAAAACGTCCCGAAAGAACACACGGGCGACCATTCCGCCGTCCCGCACTCTGACGCTCTCCTGGCGTCGTTGGAAACAACCTCAGTCTTAGCATCATCCCAGTCCCCATGAAGGGGCCAAGTAACATCATCAAGCACCAACAACATCCTGGCTTGCCACGAGCACCGCGGAAGCCATGGGAGGCCCAGCAACAAAGGTACCTGGGAGGCCCACGGCTGTCCCCGAGATGCAAGGCGAATGGGACAAGACGGCCATAAGGGAGCCGCGGATAACGGAAGGCGCCATGCTGCAGGTGGCCACGGGAGGCAGAGCAAATGCGGCCGACCCCGAGAGACAGGGCAAGAGGGGTAGCGAGGCAGCGGGGAAGCCATGAAGAAACCACAGAGACGGGGCCATACCTTAACGCCACGAGGCCCGGCACCCACGACCGACCTCGAGAAACGGGACCAACGGGGTAAGGAGGAGAAGGAGAAGGCGAAGGGGGAGGAGGAGGAGGAGGAGGAGGAGGAGGAGGAGGAGGAGGAGGAGGAGGAGGAGGAGGAGGAGGAGGAGGCCCTGGGGGGCGAGGCGCTCAGGGACCCCCAGAGACGCGCGCCACCTTCGCCCCAGCAGTTCTGCAGCGCTCGTCCCGAGCATGTGGGCACGCGGCGTTCGCGCGGCGTTCCCGCGGAGCTCCGCGCGAGGGTCGCGCGCGAGGCCTGCTGGCGGGGGGCTCGCGCAGGCCTCGCGGCGCGGCGCGGGCGCGGGGCTCCCGCGTGGGGTTCGCGCGGGGGGGTCCGCCTGGCTCCCAAAAGGATCGCGCGGGGGTTCGTGCGGGAGCTCGCCTGAGGCTCGCGCGGAGGCTCGCGCGGGGCTCGCGCGGGGCTCGCGCGGGGCCCGCTTGGGGTTCGCGCTGCGCCCGCGCGGGGTTCCGTGGGGCCTCCGCTGGGCGCTGGTGCGAGGTTCGCGCGATACCGCAAAAAGCTCGGAAAGGGGTCCAAAAGGTCTCGCGCGGAAGCCAAACAAGGCTCGCGCGCGGCTTGCGCGGGGCTTGCGCGAGGACCACGCTAGACTCACGCGGGTCTCGCGCGCACGGGTTCCCGTACGGATCTCACGGACTGCAGACGCCGCGCTGTGCCCTATTCATCACGCGATCGATGGAGTGAAGCGACGGCTGGCGCTGCTCATGCAAAACTGCAAACATGCGGCGAACATACATTCATCTTCTACTAAGCGAGCGAATGAGATTTGGAAAAAAAACCTTGTGAAAGGTGGAAAGGGATGAGGGTTGACGCCACAGGGGTGAGATAATACGACGATCTAAACGAGAGAAGACACACCGACCTCACGCGATGGTTTACGCAAGCCGCTGGCGGCTGGCGCCGCGCGCCGCGTGGGAGACTGTCCGCGCGACCTCAGGGGGGTATATGACACATGAATAAACGCATAAAAGTATGAGAAGCCCCCCACCGCTATCGTTAGCACCGCGTATATGCATTGAAGACAAACAACACATCCAGGGGGAATTCTAGCCGAACGATAAGTCTAGCACCGCGCCGAACAGCAAAATAATAATCCACCTCCCCCCGCAACCGACAGCTATCAGAAGCACTGGCTGCGAGAATGCAAGGACGTTGCCGTTTGTTTTGGAAGTGTTCACGGATTTGGGGCGGCTTGTTTTCAATTTTGTTCTCGCCTTAGCGCCGCGCACATTCGTTGTAAAAGTTGCACGAGCTTCACAGATTGAGGGCGGCTCGCTTTCAAAATGTGGCTCTCGCCTCAGCGCCGCCGGCAATCGTTTTTCAACATGCAAGGGCTCTACAGACTGGAGGCGACTGGCTTTCAAAATGCAACTCTCGCCGTAGCGCCGCGCGCATTCGATTTAAACATTTGCACGAGCTTCACGGATTGAGGGCGGCCCGTGTTCCGAACCCGAGTTTCACAATGAGCTGGCCCCGCCGAATTCAACAATGACCTGGCATCGCCGCTCAGCGCGCGCGTGCTGCAATCGTAATCGTCGGAATAGTAACCGTGATAATGGTAGTTCATCGCAGTGAAAACTGGAGTGACAAAAATAACAAAACCAATCAGAAATTCGCCGGCCCAACGGGCCAGAGGCGTGCTAAGATCTCCGGTAACTGCTCTACAATGTTTCTACTTCGCGCGCGCGGGGCGGCCCCTGGGGGTCCCCAGACGAAAAGTACCCCGACCAGGTCCCGGCAAGGTCCCCGCAAGGTCGGGCCAGAGATGCCGGAGCCCTGTTACAGGGCCCCAGGACGGGCCAAGAGGCCCCCAAGAAGCCTCCAAGACGGTCCAAGAGGGCCCCGAGACGGCCAAAGATCGCCCGAAGACGCCCAACAGGGCCCCAAGACAGCCCAAGAGGCCTCCAAGACGCCCCAAGGGCCTTCCAAGAGGCCTCCGAAGAGGGCCCCAAGAGGCCAAAATCGTTGATTTTCATTGTTTTTTTCGCTGTTTTTTGCGTTCTGGCTTTTTCGGCTTCCGGACGCTCCAAGACGGCCCAAGAGGCCCCCAAGACCGCTCCAAGACGGCCCACGAGGCTCCCAAGACGGCCCCGGAACGGCCCAGGAGGGCCCCCAAGACGGCCCAAGTGCCGCCCAAGACGGACCAAGAGGCCCCAAGACGGGCCCAAGAGGGGCTCAAGAGGGGAACCGAGAACTGAAAAATCGAGCCCTCCGCCCCAGAAGGCGCCCAGGAGGCCCCAAAAAGGCCCCAAGAGGCCCCCAAGAGGCCCCCAAGACGCCCCAAGAGGCCCAAAAGAGGCCCAAAAGAGGCCCCAAGAGGCCCCAAAACGGCCCCCAAGAGGCCCCAAAACTCGGCTAGCCCACAACTGTGCGACAATATGGGCCAGCGGAATGAGCGAAGCGATTAAATAATTCAACTACTGTTTCTCTTCACTTTTCCGTCCTGTACGATCCCCACTACGGAACCCAATCAGAAAATTAAGGTTAGCGGGCCGTCCTCGGGGGCGGTCAAACCCAGGGCATCGCCCCCGCCCCGCGCGAAGCGTTATCTTAGAACCGCGGAACAGCACGCACAAATATGTTCCGTCCGCGCGTTGCCGCATGCGTGATACTGCAACCGCGAAACTAGCGCATGATTTGGCAACGGAGTGGAATTGCAGTACGAAAGGCGTAGTAATAGCCATGCGAGTAACCGTAGTAATTGTGACAGCAATCGTAGATGCCAGGGCGGTGGTAGTGCTGCTTCGTAGTAACAGTGATAATACTGATGGCACTTCGAGGCGGGCGTCGGCTGCTTTTTCTTTTGTTCCCCACCTTTCCGCCCTCTACGATTGGTTTTACAAAACCCAATAAGAAGTTAATGCTTGTCGGCCGCCCTCGGGGGCGTCCCGCCCCAGGGCGTCGCACCCCCGCGCGGGGCGTTATCGTAGCACCGCGCAACGGCGAACATACCTATTTCCGGTGCGCGGGTCGTCGTAGTAATGATGATAACACTGCGACAATAGACGTGATGATGCGAGTCGTGATATTAAGAATGCAACCTGCATTAGAAGTGATAGCGGGAGCATTAAGAGTCGTAGTCGTCGTAGTTGTCGTAGTCGTAGTAGCATTCGGAGTGGTAGT